CAAATATCTGTAACTAAAAGGCAGAGCATCAGGTAAATGCATGTATAAGAAATATATACATTATGTGTTTTCTGTTGAAGAAAAACAATTAGATAAATATATATTAATTAAACAATTTGATATATGTTAATTATTTTATGGATCAACAACTATAGGTTATTCAAAGAGCATAACTTGTAGTTGTATTAACTTTATGTAACCACATGGTTCTTAAGATATTTGGATCCATTTCAATTTATTTTTAACTAAGAGTGCATTCTTATATATGATTCACATGATGTAGCTGAAATAAGATCCTTATGTATATTTTATTCTTTTTGACAATACATAGGAATGAGAATAAGGATTTCTTGATCACAGGAACATTGCCGGCTTTTGTTCCTGCAACAAGCAAATGCATTCCCATAACCTCCAAAATTAAAAGCAAAATATAAAGAGGCATATGTTTGATATCTCTAATCAATAGAACATTATTTAGTAACAACCATAGAGAAAAGTCAGGTTATGGAACTCAAAAATAACTTAAATTTGGGCTGCCACACAGTAACCTGTGGAATTAGGTTTTTCCTGGAAAAGATGTAGTTTGTTAGCATTTACAAGTGGGGATTCTTAAAAGTGCAGGCTCTGTAGTTTCAGGATCAAATCTGTGTGAAACAGGAAGGAAGGTTAGTGGCTGGGAGGCAGGACCAGAAGTCCTGTCTGAGTGACAGTGGAAGGACCAATAGGAAGCCTTGGAAATGCGGGAGCAGGACCAGGAAGTCCGCTTGGCCAGCCAGGCTTTGGGTGGTTACCATGGTGATGGAAACAGCATGGAGCCCGTTGCCCATAGTTCAGGGAAGAGGCTCCCTGAGCTTCCCAGCGGGTGGCATTGCATTTGGTTTGTTCCTATGAAGCCTCGTCTGGAGACCTGCACTGCACTCTTGCAGTTCATGGACTTTTTCCTGTATGATCCCTTCACAGTGTCCTCCTGTCTTTTGTACTTTCCCTGGGAGCACATGGGTCCTTTAAAGGTGAGTGTTAACCACAGACACCAGTGTTACTATCAGATTTTAAGGCATTCTGCACCCAGGCCAGGTTGCTTAAGGGTTCAAAGCACTGTTGGTGGTGGCTCTAGTTACAGACACCACAGGGAGCAGCGGCTAGGCTCAGTTACAGTCTTTCTGATCCATAGGACAAGAGTGTAGCAGAGGTTCAGAACCTTCTGAGTATTCACAAAACAATAAAAATATAAAATTCACTTCTCTACAGGTAGAGAATCCTTGTATCATCTCTCAGCACAAAAATTTTCTTCCTTTTTTCTCACTGTCCCAGCACAGACTTCTAGTACATAAACCCTCCCAAAAAATATCTTAATGTTTCAAAATATAAAGATTCACAAAAACAATCCCAAAAAGTCCACAAAAGCACTTTTCCCATGAAAGAGGACTGAACTTAACATATCCCACTAATCATCTTAATAATACTTTACATTTATTTAGAGTCTAGAATTATAAAATTATTTTTTATAAACACAGAATTTTCCCAAATGTTTGAAAGTTTAACCTCACAGAGTTTTCTTCTAATTCACTTACTTTCTACAATTCAGCCCACAATACTCTGCAATCCAAAGGATGCTTAACTTCTGAAGAGAAATTCCAAATGCACTAAATTTATAAACATCACTCTGGAGTGGCCATATGGGCCACCAATTGTCACATTTCTCACACTAAAACTCTCAGGCTCACTCCAGGTGAACTCTTTAGGTTGAGTGCCGCCAGAGGCCCTGACCTCTAAGAGCTGAGTCCCTAGGCAGGGACAAGCATGTGTCCACGTAAGGGGTAGCAAATAGATGGCACCAACTCCCCTGCCTCAGTGTTCTCAAAAGTTTCTTATGCTTAAAAGTAAAGGCCCTGATGTGCTCAGGCTCAGGCTTTCGGAGTTGTTCCCCTGGGCTCTGGTGCCACTACTAAAGTGTTGCTGCCAGATCTCTGGGTCTTGCCCTCATGTGCTGCTTCCCCAGAAGCAAGGAAAGAGCAGTGGAAACAGCAAGAGCTCAGTGCTCTGGCTCCTCCAGGTAGCTGTGCTGGGGCCTCTGCTTTAACACAGACTGGTGCTGCTTCACACTCTGTTGCTCCTGCACTCTGCCCACCCCAGCCTGGAGAGACAGCAGTGCTGAGCATGCAATGGATGCAGCTCTTGGTCTTCTCTGAAAGGGTTTCTCCTGGCCTGTGTGGGCTTCCTTACTTCCTCTGTATACCTAGGTATTCTTATTTGGGGGCACAATACAGTGGAGTGAACCCAAGTGTTTTGAAACAATGAGCCAAATCCCCAGCCCCCTGTATTTAAATTTTGTTTTCAATTTTGAGACCGGGTTTTGCTCAATTGCTTAGTCGCTCCCTGAGTTGCTGAGGCTGGCATTGAACTTGCAGTCCTCCTGCCTGAGCCTCCTGAACCTGGGTATTTTTGAAACCTGATTTCCAAAAGAAATTCTCCCTCAGCTTTCTTCTCTAGACTTCAGGTGGTGGTTGAGTGGCAAAACAATAACTTGCTACTATTCCTATATGCAGGCTGTGGGTTTAGTTAACTCTTTTTAAGGAATTCCACCTATTTTTTCACAGTAATTTCTTCTGACTTAGAACAGTGAGAACCTTTTTAAAATTTCTTTAAGATGTTAACATAGTTCTGTGATAAATTTAATAGAAATTAAAGAAACTTGGAAAAGATCTGCTGTGTGCAGTCTGTAGCCAATGACTAGGGTCTCATACTGGGAGGTCACACCCCTGTCCTGCACCAGAGAGGGGCTTTCTGAAGGGTGAGTGAAGGTCACACCCTGCTTGCTGCTCTCCAAGACTGCTTCATGGAGCTGTGGAGAACCTCTTGGGGCTTTCACACATGATGATGTTCTTGTTCTAATGGTTCTGCTTGTGTGTGGAACATTCCCTCTCTCTGGAGTCATCATCACCTGGGATGTAAATGATTTTCCTTCTTGCACGGTCCGTTGACTATATTTGTGGGAGTCTCTTTCTGGGCTCTGTTCTGGTCTATGTTGTGGTAGTACTGTGAGGGCCCCAGAATCTGAGTTGTGTCATGTTGGTGTCTATTTTGATCTTTTTTTCTTTTCTGCTTATCGTTTTTAGAAAATTGTTTACCTTATTTTTCTATAAAAGTAAATTTTTCCTAGACATACTGGTGAGTACCTATAATCCTAGCTGCTGGGGAGGCTGGGGCAGGAGGATCATAAGTTTAAAAGCTAGTCTCTGCAACTTAGGAGGCCCTGAGCAACATACAAGATCCTGTCTCAAGATATCAAATGTGTCAGGGATGTGCCTGTGTGGTTCTGCTCCCCTGGATTTGATCCACACTGCGTTTTTGTTTATTTATTTGTTTTTCAATTTGTCACACATAAATAAGTAAATAAAAATATATTTCTCTTAAATTTCTGAAATGGGTTTTAGTCTTTCACAGTTAAATGTACAATAAATCACATTTGTCTGCAGAATAGAGGGAGGAAGTACTTGCCACGTAGATTCTCATTTGACTGGACCATCATTGTGATCTGTCCCCAAGACACCTGCTGTCACCCATAATTTTTCCATGCCATGAAGAACAGCCCACTAAAGGCTTTCTCTTGGGCTCCTACTAGCCTCTGTTGATACTGTCGTGCTTCAAATGTCATGTGTCTTATGTTCTTGAGCATGGTTCTTTGTGAGTGGCAAGGTCCTGTTCTGGTAGGTGGTCTTTTTGGCTGTTCCACACTGTGCAGAAATCATAGCCTGCTTAGAGACCCACATGGAGTGGCCTGTTTCACAAGCAGTCAGCATCGGATAGTTCAGGATTCTGGGCTGCAAACCTGCTGCTTTAACACACCCTGGAAGTGCTTGTGCCTGAGGTTTCCTTGCACCAGCTGTGCTACAGGAATGAGGAATCTCTTTCATGACAGACCACCATTGTACATGTGGCCTATCTTGATCAAAGTGTCCTTGAGCAGAACGGTGGTGTGTGTCTCATGACTGTAGATGATCTGAGTGAGACATCTGCTGTTCAGAAGAGCTTGAGAATCATTGGACATTCATGGTTGCCACAAGGTTTGGAAAAGGATTTTCTGCTGTCTGTTAAGAAAACTGTTTTTCAGACCTATATAACTTTGTAAGGCTGTTGTTTCGATAAGGTGACATCTGGGGGTCATCGAGTTTTTCCTAAGACATGCCATCTTTCCATACACCCCATTCTGCTTTGACATTAACCACCAGAAATTATTGTTGTGTGTATTAATCAATGTGCTTGATTACTAATGGGTAAATTTGTTCTGGAGTAAAGCTCCTGCAAACTTCTAGTTGTCCTCAGTGTAATCATCCAAGTTGAGCTCAGTCCCCAGTGAACACATTGTGACAATCTGTGTGGAAGATTGCCTAACTGTTGTCTATGAGGGAAACTCCTTAGTGACTCCATACTCGGAGGGTGTGGGTTGGGGCTGATTCTAGGCACTTCTTTAAGGATGGAACAATTGACTTTCAGAAGGAAACAGGAGATCAGTAAATACCATGTTGTCTATATTAAGTGTGTAGGCCCAGTGAGCCACTGTGGTTGGCAGGATCTCTCAAATGCTGAGTTTTGTGATCCCAGCAATTTCCTACTCAGTCAGCTTTCTTTTCTAAGGGTAAATAATATGGAGAATGCTAATATTAGCTCTCTACTGCACAGGATGTTGGTAGGATGGTGATAGAGATGCAATCAACAAATAAGTTAAGGGTGACCCGAGAGCCCCTCTTACTTCCTGTGAACTCACCAAAAGTGAGTTCACCAAAGGAAGGGTGTACAACACTCTCTGTTTACCTTGTGTGTGGGGCCCAATTCTAGTGTTGGAGTGGCTGTGAGGACTTAAGTACACTAAAGATTTCATGGACAAAATCGTGGAATTAATCGGGAGGCCAGGGAATCGTGAACATCATGCATGGTGAGTATAGATTTCTCACACTGTCAATCTCTCCTGGCCTCCACTACACATTTGTGGGATATTTTAGATCTCAGTGACCTTTGAGGATGTGGCCGTGAACTTCACCCAGGAGGAGTGGACTTTGCTGGATGCTTCCCAGAAGAACCTTTACAGAGATGTGATGCTGGAAGTCTTCAGAAACCTGGCTTCTATAGGTAATAATGTTGTGTAGTTATTTAATCAAATAGAGAAGTCGTGTTTATTTTGGTCATTTATGTAGAACATGAAAAGACAATCAATTGGTGAATTATTGTAGCATAAAATGCTCCATAAATTTGGAAAAGCATTTCTAGCTCCTAAAAATTTATAATGTTTTGGTTTGGCATTTTAGGAAAGAGATGGGATGACAAGAACATTGAAGATCAGATCAATAATTCTGGGAGTAATCTAAGGTAATTGTACTCACAAGAGGAATCCTTGAGGGAATCTGAGAATGTCATATAAATGTGCACAACTTTAAATGTATTTATTCTTACAAGATTTTTTACCAAAAACATATGCTTAACTGAGACTGGGGTTGTGACTCAGTGGTAGAGAGCTTGCCTAGCACACTTGTGGCACTGGGTTCTCTTCTCTGCACCACATTTAAATCAATAAAGTTTATTCACAACTGAAATAAATTTTACATGTGTATTTAACTGTAAAATATACTCAGTCTTTTCAAAGTACTTGACATGCAAAAGTACTATGAAATTGCATATGTAAATCTCACTGTTTGGATAATAGTCATAGGCAAGCTGTGTTGCAAAGCATTGTTTCCTCTCAATCTCTTTATTTTCTGGCAATTTGAACAAGTTGGAAAACCTAGTCTTTACCTAATGTTGGTAGTAATGTAAGCCTAGCACCTTTAAATAAATATAAAATCATGAATGAATCAAGCATTAATCATGTGCTGATCATTCTTTAAAGAAATCTTATGGTAAACTTCAAAGGCAAAGAACAGTATGGGGAAATTTTCAATGAGATTCCAGTTCTTAAGTAGACAAAGAAAAATTTTAATAGAGTGAATTCATATGACGGCATTATGTGTGCAACTGACTGCATATGTCCTTCATACCCTCACAGGCACTTCAGATCTCACTGTGGGCATGAATGCTATAAACATGAAGAGTGTGAAGAGAAGCCATGTGAATTGAAACAATACAGAAAATCTCTGGTTTCTCTCAAAAGTGTTCACACACAAATGTTAACACAAACTGGAGATGGACCATATGAAAGTACAGTATGTGGAAGAGTCATCAGTTGTTCCAGTGACATTCAAAGACATGAAGATTCTCATACTGAGTGCCAACCCTATGAATGTCAACAATGTGGTGAAGCCTTTTCTTCTCTCCCAGCTGTTCAAAGACACATGAGAACACACAGTGGAGGTAAATTTTTTCAATGTGAGGTATGTGGGAAAGCCTTCCATTCCCCCACTTTATTTAGAAAACATGAAAGAACTCATTCTGGAGAGAAACTCCATAAATGTAAACAAGGAGGTAAAACTTTGGTTTCATTCACAAGTCTTCGATGTCACATGATCAGGCACACTGGGAAAGCACATTTCAAATGTAAGGTATGTGGAAAAGACTTTGCTTATCCCAGTTTACTTAGAATACATCAGAGAACACATACTAGAGAGAAACCCTATGAATGTCCACAATGTGGGAAAGCCTTCAGTACTTCATCTTACCTCCAGATACACGAATGGACTCATACAGGAGAGAAGCCCTATGAGTATAAGTGGTGTGGAAAAGCCTTCACTCAGTCTGCTCACCTTCACTCTCATGAGCAAACTCATACTGGAGAGAAGCCCTATAAATGTCAACAATGTGGAAAAGCCTACACTACTTCATCTTACCTTCAGATACATGAAAAAATCCATGCTGGAGAGAAGCCCAATGAATGCCAACAATGTGGAAAAGTCTTCACTACTTCTTCTAACCTTCACAGACATGAACGAACTCATACTAGGGAGAAGCCCTATGAATGTAAGCAGTATGGCAAAGCTTTTACTCAGTCTTCTAACCTTCACTCAATTGAAAACACTCATATGACAGAGAAATCCTATGAATGCCAACAATGTGGAAAAGTCTTCACTACTTCTTCTAACCTTCACAGACATGAACGAACTCATACTAGGGAGAAGCCCTATGAATGTAAGCAGTATGGCAAAGCTTTTACTCAGTCTCCTAACCTTCACTCAATTGAAAACACTCATATGACAGAGAAATCCTATGAATGCCAACAATGTGGAAAAGTCTTCAGTACTTTTTCTAACCTTCAGATACATGAACGGATTCATACTGGAGAGAAGCCCTATGTATGTAAACTGTGTGGAAAAGCCTTTGCTAGATCTCCTCAGCTTCACATACATAAACGAACTCATACTGGAGAGAAGCCGTATGAATGTAAGCTGTGTGGAAAAGCCTTCAATGACCCCTCTAACCTTCACAGACATGAAAGAACACATACTAGAGAGAAACCCTATGAATGTCAACACTGTGGGAAAGGCTTCACTACTTCAAGTTACCTTCAGATGCATGAACAAATCCATACTGGAGAGAAGCCCAATGAAAGTCAACATTGTGGAAAAACCTTTGATACATCCAGTGAACCTCACATGCATGGAAGAACTCACAGAGAAGAGAAGCCCAATGAATGCCAACAATGTGGAAAAGTCTTCAGTACTTCTTCTTCCCTTCACAAACATGAATGGACGCATACTGGAGAGAAGCCCTATCAATGTCAACAATGTGGAAAAGCCTACACTACTTCATCTTACCTTCAGATACATGAAAAAATCCATGCTGGAGAGAAGCCCAATGAATGCCAACAATGTGGAAAAGTCTTCACTACTTCTTCTTACCTTCAGATACATGAACGGACACATACTGGAGTGAAGCCCTATGAATGTAAGCAGTGTGGCAAAGCCTTCACTCAGTCTGCTAACCTTCACTCCCATGAGCAAACTCATACTGGAGTGAAGCCCTATGAATGTAAGTGGTGTGGCAAAGCCTTTGCTAGATCTTCTCAGCTTCACATACATGAACGAACTCATACTGGAGAGAAGCCCTATGAATGTAAACAATGTGGTAGAGCCTTTGCTAGATCCAGTGAGCTTCACACACATGGAAGGATGCATACTGGAGAGAAGCCCTATAAATGTCAACAATGTGGAAAAGACTTTGCTGCCTACTCTCACCTTCACAAACATGAAAGGACGCATACTGGAGAGAGGCCCTATGAATGTAAACAGTGTGGAAAAGCCTTCACTGTGTCCTCTAACCTTCACAGACATGAAAGAATGCATACTGGAGAGAAACCCTATGAATGTCAACAATGTGGAAAAGCTTTCACTACTTCAACTCACCTTCATAAACATGAACAAATCCATATGGAAGAGATGCCCAATGGAAGTCAACATTGTGGAAAAACCTTTGATACATCCAGTGAACCTCACATGCATGGAAGAACTCACACAGAAGAGAAGACCAATGAATGCCAACCATGTGGGAAAGTCTTCAGTACATCTTACCTTCAGATACATGAATGGACTCATACTAGAGAAAAGCCCTATGAATGTAAGCAGTGTGGCAAAACCTTTGCTAGATCTTCTCAGCTTCACATACATAAACGAACTCATACTGGAGAGAAGCCCTATAAATGTCAACAATGTGGAAAAGACTTTGCTGCCTACTCTCACCTTCACAAACATGAAAGGACGCATACTGGAGAGAGGCCCTATGAATGCAAACAGTGTGGAAAAGCCTTCACTGTGTCCTCTAACCTTCACAGACATGAAAGAACACATACTAGAGAGAAACCCTATGAATGTCAACATTGTGGGAAAGGCTTCACTACTTCAAGTTACCTTCAGATGCATGAACAAATCCATGCTGGAGAGAAGCCCAATGAAAGTCAACATTGTGGAAAAACCTTTGATACATCCAGTGAACCTCACATGCATGGAAGAACTCACACAGAAGAGAAGCCCAATGAATGCCAACAATGTGGAAAAGTCTTCAGTACTTCTTCTTACCTTCAGATACATGAACGGACACATACTGGAGTGAAGCCCTATGAATGTAAGCAGTATGGCAAAGCCTTCATTCAGTCTGCTCACCTTCGCTCCCATGAGCAAACTCATACTGGAGTGAAGCCCTATGAATGTAAGCGGTGTGGCAAAGCCTTTGCTAGATCTTCTCAGCTTCACATACATGAAAGAACTCATTCTGGAGAGAAGCCCTATGAATGTAAACAATGTGGTAGAGCCTTTGCTAGATCCAGTGACCTTCACACACATGGAAGGATGCATACTGGAGAGAAGCCCTATAAATGTCAACAATGTGGAAAAGACTTTGCTGCCTACTCTCAGCTTCACAGACATGAAAGGACGCATACTGGAGAGAAGCCCTATGAATGTAAACAATGTGGAAAAGCCTACACTACTTCGTCTTCCCTTGTGATACATGAGCAAACTCATACTGGAGAGAAGCCCTATGAATGTCTACAATGTGGGAAAGCCTACACTAATTCCTCTTCTCTTCTGATACATGAACGAAGTCATACTGGAGAGAAGACCTATGAATGTCAACAATGTGAAAAATCCTTTGTTACATCCTCTCAGCTTCACTTACATGAGCAAACCCATAAGGCAGAGAAATTGTACTCTTGAACACAACTGGTAAAGTCTTCTGTTATTACTGTTCCTCTCATCAACATGTTAGAAGTTTATAGGAGAAAAATCCTTTAAATGTGGAATGTGGTGGGTCAATATTTCTTGTCCCCTTCAAACACAAAAAAGGGCTCACTGCTGAATATTGTACTGGGGATTGTACTGGAGATTTGGTCTGGTGGCACTCTACCACTGAGACACATCCCCATTCCTTTTTGGTTTTTCAGACAGGGACTATCTAAGTTCCTTATGGTCTTCCTAAGGTGTTGAGGCTGGCCTCAGACTTGTGATCCTTCAGCCTCAGCCTCCCAAGTCTCTGGGATTAAAGGCGTACACCACCACATGTGACTGAATAAGTGTCTAAATGTGAAAAATATGGTAAATCATTCCATTTTCTCTGTTGCCTTCAAAGCCATTTCAGTCACACTGTGAAACAAGCCCTCTGAATTGGTGGTGGTGGTGGTGGGGGGGGGTGATTTGCTACATTCCATCAGCTTCACGTCCCAGACCTACTTTTCTTCTCTTTTATGAAAATTTTCCCTGTTTCTTCTGGGGACTGGGAAGATTCTTTTGGAAAGATTTATGCCAAAATGAATAAGTCCTATGTAAGTAAGAAATACAAAGGGCTCAGGTGTTCCAGTTTTGTTCAGTTGTATGAAAGGACTCAGACTGTAGAAAATCCTGTGGATAAGCCATGTGGGGCAGTATGCAGATTTCACAGTTTCCTCCAAAGACATGAAAGGATTCACATCAGGGAAAACCCTACTGCTCTTTAAACGATGTGGTAACACTTTCAAATTTCCAGGTCTCTTGTTTTTTCATGTCTTTATACATGTAGTTTGTTTTTTTTTGTTGTTGTTGATGATGATGATGATGATGATTTGTTTTTGCATTACAATTCTTATTACACATATATACCACAGTTTTCATATCTTTATATATAAAGTATGTTGACACGCAATTCGTGTCTTTATATATTTACTTTGAGTAATGATGTCCATCACATTCCACCATCCTTGCTAATCCCCTGCCCCCTCTGTTTCCCTCCCATCCCTGTCCCCTATTTAGAATTCATCTATTTCTCTCTCCACACCACTATGGGTCAGCCTCCTTATATCAGAGAAAACATTCAGCATTTTTTGGGGGGGGATTGGCTAGCTTCACTTAGCATTGTCTTCTCTAACGCCATCTATTAACCTGAAAATGCTATGATTTTATTCTCTTTTATTGCTGAGTAAAATTTCATTGTGTATATATGCCACATTTTTTTTTTATTTATTCATCCACTGAAGGGCATCTAGGCTGGCTCCACAGTTTAGGTATTGTGAATTGCACTGCTATAAACATTGATTTGGCTGTGTCATTGTAGTATGCTGTTTTTAAGCCCTTTAGGTATAGTCCGAAGAGAGGGATAGCTGGGTCAAATGGTGGTTCCATTTCTAGATTTCCAAGGAATGTCCATACTGTCTGTACCAATTTGCAGTCCCATCAGCCGTGTAGGAGTGTACCGTTTTCCCCACATCCTACCAACACTTATTGTTGTTTCTCTTCATAATAGCTGCCATTCTGACTGGAGTGAGATGATATCTTAGCATAGTTTTGATTCGCATTTCTCTGATTGATAGAAATGATGAGCATTTTTTCATATATTTGTTGATTGATTGTATATCTTCTTTTGAGAAGTGTCTCACAGGTCTTTTTTGTGACCACTCATCTGACTTGAGCCCCCAGTATGGTATCATCTCCCTCTCTCACCTAGAGATTTCCCAGATCCTGATCTCTCAGTTGTGTCCCAGATTGTAGTCCCCTTCCCTCTCTTATTTATCAGGTCCCAACTGCAGGGCCTCTCAGCCCCAGCTCACTCCAGGTGGGCGGCGCACTGCACTCCTGTCCACCTGAGAGCTGATCTTGTATTGGGAGGCCACTGTGACCATTATCACCGCTGGGGGGTGGCTGGAAATCAGGTACCTGCTGAGATGGCAATTCCATCTGTGAGCTATGCCCCCCATAAAATGGCGAGGAAGGTGATTCAAGATGGAGTCGCTCTGCTTCCAGAACCCGGGTGTCCAGTGAGGCGGGGGAGCTGGCCGATGGCCTTGTGCTGTGGACAGGTAGCAGCCGAGTGAGCTGCGTGGGAGCAGCGCAGCCTGGAGCTCTGCAGAGGGGCTGAGGTGCTTCTGCTGAGCCGCTGGAGAGCCGCGTGTGGGCTCGAACCCGGGCCCTGGCTCCAGAGGCCGAAGACTCCCTGGAGCCCAGGGGCTCTGGTTTCTGCGCGGGTGGTCACAGCGCCGGTGATTTCTGTGAAAACCCACGGCTTAGGGGGCTTCTCCCTCTCTCTGAGATGCGGTGTTCCGTCTAGGCGAGACCTTGTGGAGAAGCAGCCTGCCTACTTCCTGGGCTTCACCAGGGCGCAGCAGAAGCAGCACCTCCTCTAGCCCCACCTTCCGTCTCCAGGCCTCCGACCAGTGGGAAGGATCGCCCCGGAGGAAAGCGCCAGAGAAGAAATGTGGTGAGACTTCAGTTGACTCACATTCACTTAGACTTGCTCAGACCTGAGGAAATTTTTTTTGAATAATAATAATAATTGTAATAATAATAATTATTATTATAATTATATAATTAATAATAATTATAATAATAATTATAATATTATAATATTTACAATAATTATAATAATAAATATTAATTATAATAATAATTATTATTATTGTTATTATATTATTATTATTTTTACTACTACTAAACCTAAAGGTGCTTAACCACCAAGCCACATCCCAGTCCTTTTTAATTTTTTTTTTTTTTCAATTTTGATACATGGTCTCACTAGTCATGGTGCTAAGTTGCTGAGGCTGGCCTTGAACCTGTGATCCCACTGCCTCAGCCTGATATGGTCCTGCACTGTCCTCAGCCAGCAACCTCTTTTTTGAGAAAACCACTGTCACTGAGGGGAAAGTGTGTGTGCCTTCATTCCTCCTGTGTCTCTTCAGAGGTCATAAAAATGCAGCCTGCAGTGGATGTAGGGATTGTTTCAGCATGAAGATGTGAAAGTAGCATGTTTTTCTGAGTTGAATCTCTCTTATTGTTAGATTCAATTTTTCTGTATTTTAAGTTTTCTGCATCTGTAGTCAACTCACATATTATGACATAATCTTATATATACTGTGCATGTATGTGTGTATGAAAAAGTTAGTTGTGTTAACTTTCAGTCACAACATTTTAATTCTTTTTTAGAGTTTTTCTCTCTCTCCTTCCATTAAGTACATTTTCTCTTATATTGTCCATTTTTTTTTTCCACTAAAGGCTTTATCAAATAAATGGTATTTTAAAACTCTGGTCTCATAATTTGAAAACTTTTTCCATATGTAATTCTGATATTTTCTGTGTCCTCAAATATTGTATGACTTTTACATATGTTATGACAAAATAAAAATTGTGAGAGGTTTTAGATATATAATTACCAAGCTCAGAGAATGGAGAAGAGAAAAGGAACATTATCATCATCGTATCTGGAGTCCTTAAGCACTGAGCCCCATCCCTAGTCCTTTTTAATTTTTTGTTTGTTTGTTTGTTTGTTTCCTAGAGGATCTTGCTAAGTTCTTCTTCAGGGCCTCCATTTCTTGCTGAGGCTGAATTGAAGCTTGTGATCCTCCTGCTATGGCCACTGGGATCACAGACATATGCTACTGTGCTCAGCTCCTGGGTGTTTCCTGAATCCCTGATGTAAATCGAAATGTGCCTTGTTTGTGTCGAGTTTCAGGTGTCACCAGTTCAGATGCAGGAATTACTTCTTCATGTGTTTCTTCTTCAAGCTCTAAGATTCTAAGATAATGCTGATCATCATAAGAACATTAATTCACACCTTCTAAATTATTATTAGTTCAGTTGAACTAAACTGGAGTCGACTTGGAAAAAAATGTATATTAGATAATTTATGTTGAAAACGGGGTGGAAGAACTATTTCAATATTTAAGGAAACCAATTATTCATTTTTATTAAGAGCTCATGATATAATGAACTTTAATTAATTTCCCTTCCATGCACCAGGCACCAGAAAAGCATCTTAGCAGGGTCACAGAGACTATCAAAAATGGCCTGGCTCTCACGTGAGTGTTCTCTAGAGCACCAAGTGACATTAAAAATGGGGTGAGTTTTGGCACCCACATATGCACTCTCACATGCTTGTGCACGTGCACACACATATACAAGATCAAGTCACCCTTTTCTGTACATACCCTCTGGGACCACCACTCTATCACTCGTGTTTCTTCTAAGTCTCATGTGTTGTGTTGTATGTAGGCACATTAAAGGGCATTATAAAAGTTGTGATTTGTATGTATTGTTTGGAGAGGCACCTTCTCAAAATATGCTTTGCCCTGTACTTAATTGAGTTCCTTTCTATTTCTTCTCTTTCCCAGGTGCCAGGGACCCAATCTTGCCTTGTGCCTGCTAGACAGGTGCTCTAGGACTAAGCCCTCCCCTAGCTCAGGTGGTGAGTTTGCTGCTGCTGTGTGCGTGGACCCCACTACTGTCCACATGAGTAGATGCAGCTCTGCAGGTGTTTCCCCCACATTTGCAGCTGGTCCCTTTTTTCTTGAAGGTTCTTGACATCAGTGAATTTTAAAAACTGACATCCACTTAGCTTCTCTCCCCATGATTAATACTTAGGTGGAATATGCCAGAAAATCTAGGCTGGACCTCTCTCTCTGTTTAGGGTACCTCAGTAGCCCTGGGAACATCATGTGATGATTTTTTTTCATGTAACAAAAGGCAAGGTAAGGAGAGTCCCAGTCTGATGTCCTAATGTAGTGGCACTCCCTTCTCCACCTAAGAATTTTAAATAAGCTTCTCCAGAGACCCTCACCATAATTTTCTTTAAACAGAATGTCAGGAAAAGGTTTTGCAAAGAACTCAATGTGGGTTCCCATGCAGACTGATGACCTTACTTCTGGTTTTATGGTAATTCTTGAAAAACCTCTGACTAATCTTATTCTGAATGGTACACAAAGCACTTTCTATAAAGTAAAGGAGAAAAAACTTTATGTAGACTCCTACAAAAAATGTGCACCTCCACCCCCTCCCACTGGGGGTAAACATAATGAAATTTCAAACTGGAGGTTTAGAAAATTTTAGGGATACCCCTGTGAGCCCTGCAGCTAGTAAGTTGGCTCCCTGAATCTTCCCTGGGTGTCCAGCCTCATCTGCCCCACATCACTAATGGGGCCTCCACTGGTAAAAGACCCCAGGTCATAGCCAGAAATTCTTGTTTGGACATTATACAGCAGGGTCTCTGGTGCAAATTCAGGAGCACTGGATTCAAGGTTTCCAGACACTTTAGAGCTGCAACCTTCTTACCCAGTGGTCATGGCCCACGTGAAGTCCACAGTGGGTGCAGCACCCCGGAGGTGGTCAGCACTCACAAGGGCAATAGTACTCTCCATCCTATAGCCAAAAAATTCCCAGGAGTCCTGCTTTCCAGTGCTTGCCCTGTCCTGCAGGGGGTCCTGCATGTTGCTATAAACTTCTGGGTGTTCTTGCTGTGCTCTGCTGGGGTCATTGTGCCCAAGAGTCCTGGATATTGCTGGTCCTGGGGTCTATTAATGACTGTGGAGCAGCAGGCACTTGCATGGATGCCCATTTACTCCTGGGTCTGATGAACTTCCTGGGCCAGCACCACACAGTCTTACCTGGATCTGCTCTTCTCTGTCCCCTTCTTACCCACACTGCCTGAGCTCAGAGTCCTCTCAGTTCCCCACACTCATGTTCCTCCTTCCCCAAGGCCTTGGTGGCCATCCTGGACCATGCTCCCTCTTCTGGGGCCTTGTGTGGCCATTGATAAGGATTCCTTACATACCTGAGTCCAAATATTTAAGGTAGCAAACATGCTAAAGTTAGGGTGATTGTCACTGCTATCTCTGTTACCAGCCTTTTGCTGTGTCTCTCATGGTGTTTATTTGGAAAGGA